AATACCGTCAGCAAGCCAAACAGTAATTGAACATCAGCCTTCTAAAAAGCCTGGCAAGGCTGCAAGTATAACACGCAAAGGGCTAGGGGAGAGGGAAAGCTGTGAGGATGCGGGGTGGTGGAAGGAGAAAGAAAACGGGGCATGTCCCTCATGCCTCAATTACTCTCTGTATCCTGGCACTTGGTGCCAGCTTGATCTTGAGGAACCCCGTACTTGGGGCAGCCGTCCTGGGATCCCAAAGGAAAAAGAGGGAAGGGACACTGCGTGCGTATTACGATAAGATCTTTTCCTGTGTGATTACAGAGCTTGCCTCTTGTCTGAATTCCTGATCACAGATCGCTCTGAACTCGCCTCATTGACTGCCTCAGCTGAATGTACGAGGGCACAGTATTGCAGCAGTATAGTTGTTATTTCCAAGCTTCTCAGACCCTGACTTACTCTGCAACTTTTTTCTTCATGCTATCCAATATATTCATGCAGAAATATAGGGTCAAATGATAATGAAACATTATGGGGTTAAATTAATCTTTTAGTAGGTCCATTAATTTGGTGGAATTACACAGGAGACTAGTTGATTCCTAATGTAAATGCATTTTAGTAAAAGGTATGGAAATGACTAACGAACAATTGTGTTTAAAGATGCATGACTCTTACAGAGTTTAATTTTAAACAGCTGCAAAGAAAGGAATACGTACCACTTTTGTTAAGCTAGAAATAAATAAAATACACTATAAGTGTTGGAGCTAATTAGTTAAGTGCTCAACTATTTAGTTTTTAAAACAAGATCACGCTTAAGTGCCTTAAGCTTTTATTAATTGCATGGACCCCAAAATCCCCTATAGTAATTGAAAATTTAATTACATACATTTTTTGTTCTTTTAAGAATGGAAGCTTATTAAACTTTAAACACTTAAACATCTATTGAAATACCAGTGGCTATAAACAACATGCAATTCTAAATACTAATTAAACAGGAAGGCTAAATCACTGTAAAGCTAAACTGAATTTTAAGTAACTTTGCACTCGTAAGTACTCCTATTTTTTTTCATGCTGTATGAGATTTACCATTTCTTCTCTAAACACAGCAGATGTCCTGGGCAGTGCTACTATCTTATCTGTCTGTACTGTGGCAGACACGTTATTTTGTGGAAATATTTGCAGTGGGGGTCAGTCCCTAGAGAATAAACTGGCATTCAGGAAAGGAGACCAGCGTGGGCAGGGAGCTGTCTAAGTGGACAGCTAAAGCTACTGGTAACAGTTACATGTTGAAAGGTCCTTAGTATTTCTTTCTTTTATAGAAAGTTCACAGAACTGGGACCGGAGATATATCTCTGTTCTGTTTTCCAGATCCAATCTAATGCAATTTTTTGTCAGTTGATTGACTGATTAACAGCTTAGTTAATTTTCTTTGGACAGATGTCCGACTTCCCAAAATTAACCATTGTGGTTTGCATTCTTATTAACACAAGATAAAGACAGAATGAACCTCTCGGTCTAAACTATCTTCTGATTTTAAATGGGGCTCTTTAATGTAAAGGTTCACTTTCGCTGCTGCTTGGTCAACACCACAAGAATGTAACTGTGTTAAGGTTGAAGCGGGTTGCTCATACGTAGACACGATGTTATCCTACACTGCCCAAAGCATGTTTCTACCTAGAAGAGTATTTGAGATGCTGCCTATCACTGTATCGCTGTTTCTACTAGAACTTAAAATGCCTCTAGGGATAGCAGAAGTAACCTGGTGGGATTAACAGCAGCAGAAGATGCACCAGAATAGAAATTCTTTCCAAGGAAAGTTCCAAGCATGGATTGTGAGTCCTGTCAGTTTATCAGGCAGATGCAATTCCTCTCACACCAGAATACTACTGTAAATAATCAAACATGAAACGTTTGATGTATTTGTCTTCTGTGGCAACTGCTGTTTTTTCATACTGTGTTTAAATATTCAGAGGTAGCTGTGATCTTGCCTTTTGATATGTGGGCAAACTCAACAGTTAATTTTTCTCAGCGTAAAACAGCAGTTGCATTTAGAAGAATGTGCAGGTGGGACTCTCGGCAAGTGATGATTCCAGCTTCCTTCTTGCGCCTCCAACCCTGTTTTGGAAGATTCACGTCATCCAGAAGAAATGGTAAAAGGTCCACGATTCAAGATCTGTTTTCCAAACACCAGCACCTCAAAATAATAAGAAAGAATAGATCCTTTCATCCCAGGGTGTCAGTATTGTCTCTTTGTTCATAACAGTTCTCAGAATTGGTTCATTTCTTGTTGCAGCACCTCTCAGGAACTGATCTACCAAGCATTTACACAGCACTCTTCTTCCCTAAAATGGTTTAGAAAAATCATCTTTGTACCACCACTGAAAGGCAAACGGTATTGCAGCTTCCTTATGGACTCAGGAACAGAGCGGCTGCTTAACTTTATCAAGACAATAAAAAGTAGTAAAGGCTCGAAGTAGGGTCTAGGTTCTTCCCTTTTCCCCAGCCGGTTTCATTCTTTTCTCTAGAAAACCAGAATGAAGAGTCTACCAATCTTTTTATTAATATGTGAAATACAAATAACACTTTCACCCCGCAGGAAATGTTGTTAAAAGCAAACCCCAGCCCTTTCCTAGTTATGTCACTAGATGGCCCTGCGTCTGAAGCAAACATCCCAGAAAATACCTGCTATACTGGGAGACCTTTTGCCAGCTCTATGCAGTACTTTTTGCAGGTTGGCAAACACACAGAGAGGTATTAGTTTTAAAATAAAACAACAGCAGATTGTGCTATCTCAAATGTTTACACTAGCAGCAGAATGCTGTATGATATGTGCTGCTGTGTACAGAGCAGAGGGAGCAGATAGGTCTAATCAGATAAAGAAAAGGCATGCTAAAAGAGGTAAGTTGGTTTTGTGGTACATTGTACCACCCAAAAGCACCTTTGCTTGTAGGAATAAATGATTCTCCAGTATCTGCAGTTTACGATAATGATGCTTCCTTCCAAGAGACCAGGAAGGATAGGTTAATTGTCTTTGTGTATGGATATTCCTTTTGGGCATCTTACAGAATCATAGAATCGTTTGGGTTGGAAAAGACCTTTAAGATCATCCAGTCCAACCATTAACCTAACACTGCCAAGTCCACCACTAAACCAATTAAGGGGAGAGTAGCAATTTCATGTTTCCTGGCTTGGTGGCTGGATTATTTATAATGAAAGTAAAAACTAGGAGTCATTAAGGTTGGAAAGGATCTCTAAGATCATCAGCCCAACCATCAACCCAACACCCCCATGCCCACTAAACCATGTCCCCAAGTGCCACGTCTGCCCATTTTGTACACACTTCCAGGGATGGGGACTCCCTCACCTCTCTGGGCAGCCTGTTCCAACACTTGACCACTTTACTCTTTCCGTGAAGAAATTTTTCCTAATATCCATCCTAAACCTCCCCTGACGCAGCTTGAGCCCATTTCCTCTCGTCCTATTGCTAACTACCTGGGAGGAGAGCCCAACACCCACCTCACTGCACTCTCCTGTCAGGCAGTTGTAGAGAGCGATGAGTTCTCCCCTCAGCCTCCTCTTCTCCAGGCTAAACAATCTTGTGCGATTTAACAACTTAAGCCTTGCTTAGTAGTAATTCTTGGGCTTGTTTGTGTGCCAGGCACTGGCAGAGGGCAGCAGAAGTCATTGCTACAGATACAGGGGCTCTGTTTCCAGTGCGAAGGGGCCAAAGGTTTGTGGGTTTGTCTCCTGCAGGTCCCTAACACTTGGGCTCGGCTTTTTCTCAGGGATGGATGCAGGCACTATTCGATTGGCGTAGAAGGGAGGGAAACTGGGGGTGGAGGTGGGAGTCTGTATATGCATTACTTTGCAATGTGATCAGGGATATATATGTGCTATGTAAGCAACATAAACTACTGCTCTTTCCCCATCCACTGAATAAGTGCCAGTCTTTCATTCTCACACTGAGTCCTCATAAATAATGCTGAATGTCAGCATCCTAAAAGAGAAAGGAAATAATTTATTTGCCTAAATTGGGTTTGGCCATACCTGCTTTTCCTGTGATCCCAGCTTCACATCCCAATGAGGCAGACCGAAGTCAATATGCTCATATCTACAGCCTTCTTCATAGCAACTTCTGTTATGACCCTATAATCTCAGGGTTTCTCTGCAGGCACTCAGCGTATATGGCGTTTCATCAGAGTAAGACTTTGTTCCAGTATCTTATAAGATTTCTGTTTCCAGTGTCCCTTTTGCTATACTTGATATTGTGCTTTATGCTCCCCAGATGTAGCTTCACTGAGCGATGGGCAAAGATATTTTACGCTGCCTTGTTTTTATCACTGAACCATTTGCGAATGGCTTTGGGTTCTCCAATCTGTGCAAAGAAATCTATAGGACTGACACTATATTGAAATTTCTGCTTGTTGGGACCTGACTTTGGTCACTCCTGTGTTAAAATCGGGCAAGTTTGGTGTTATCTAATTCTTCAAGTACTCTGTATTTCACTTGTGTTTATATATCAAGGTCCGTGAATTGGGAGGTGCCAACAGTCTACAGCTGGTCTCTGTAGTGTAGTTATGCAGATCTTTTCGCCATCCACCCCTTCCCCAAGCACTCAGAAAATGGGTTTCTGGAGGGCGGGACACAGCTATGCTGGAGCACAAGATTTCCTTGCACAGCTCTTGGAGACACTGTGCAACAGTCCTACCCCGAAATTCGCAGCAGCCTGAACATGTTGGAGATCCATAACCATAGTAAGGGAAGTAAATTATTTTTTCAACCTCAAAGTAATTTTCTCTTCTCTAGGAAAAGGTTTCTACCCATCCAGTAGCCCTGATAATGTGTAAGAAAAATTACATTGAAAACCACTTTCCTTCTGTTTATTAAGTGAGTTGTTTTACAGTTCTTGCATGCTGTTGTCTTAATTTGTTTGTTTCCACAGGCTACATTTAGATGCTGTTTACAGCAATAAAGAGAATATTACATTTGATCTAGTGCTCTGTCTTAATTCACAGGATGAGATGCGAACAGAAGCTCGTCGAAAAAATCTCCTCATTCTGATTTTGCATTATTTAATGGAGGAAGGGTATGTTTTTTTAAATAAAAGTGCTCTACATTTGTGGGTTTGTGTGTCTGACCTCCCATAATGTGTCCTTCTGTCCTCTGTTGGGTGGATGCACAGCATGGCCCTTTGGTTTGATGTGAGAAAGTGGTAAACTGCTATTACATATCTTGGCGGTTTACTTTGCTAAATTGTTTCAGGTTTTGGAACAAAAATGTCCTGTATAATTTAAAAATACTTTAGCGCAATCAGCAAAGGGTTTTTAAATAGAGTTTATGCTTTTATAATAAATAGAGTTGTGGACAGGCTAAAAATACCATATACTTACTCATGCTGTTGTTTGCTTTTTCTCTTAAAAATCAGAATAAGGTAATGACTCTCAGTTTTTTGATCTTTTTTTTTTTGAAATTACCAGCTATGTCGATGCTGCAAATGCTTTGGAACAAGAAACGAAATTAAGTTTACGTGGCTTTGAAGTTTGTGACAACATTGATCTTGAGACAATTTTGATGGAATATGAAAGCTATTACTTTGTAAAATTTCAAAAGTATCCTAAAATTACTAAAAAGGTCCTGGACACTGGTAAGTGGCTATGTTCCAAAAAGAAAACTTTTGTTTCCAAGGCCTGAAATGTGTATTTGCCTGATATGCTCACTGCCGTTCCCATGCATGTCAGCTTTTAATGTTTGAACTCTCTTACAGAGCTATAGTTCTAGCACAGAGGACGTAAGAATTGAGAGAGAGGGCTTTGAGCCCTTCTGCTCTTCCTTCTCTCTTTATGTAGAGGAACAAGAAGGTGTTATTTTTCTGTCTTTTAAAAACTGCTTTGATATCGGAAAATGCCATGTAAGTGCAAAGTATTATGGCATAGATATATTCACTTTCTTCTCATGGGGAGAGAATAGTAAGTCTGTTCTATTTTGGATTTAATTTTTACATTAAAATAAACCACTTAAATGAAATATTATAACTTAGCTCATGCAAGCTAGCACTTAAAAGTTTATCACCACTAGTCCCATTAACCACTTATTTTGCACATTTTCATATACTAAAGGTAATGTGCCAACGAAGTAATAGGTTTATTTGCTCTAAAGGACTTGAAGTATGAGGTATAAATGAATGATACAGAATAAGGCAAATCAGAATATTAGCATTCTGTTATGACCCTGAGAGCCTGAATGGTTTTGTGCTTGAGAGTCACACAAAACGTAACTCATAGAAGCCATAAGAACAACTGTATAGGAATCAGTTATGAAGAGCCTGGAGGGTACAGAAAAAACAACATCTCTCCCTACTTGTCTTGTAAGAAAAAGATAATCATCAGAGAAGGGGATGATTGGCCAGGGAACATCTCTGAGCAGTTGTCATTGTTTTATATGGCTGCCAGCAACTTTGAAATCACAGGTAAATGAAATGTTATATAAATATAATAAAATTACCTGTATAGGTGAAGTTATTTTGAAAGGTACAAAAGCTACTAGTCATTATTACGTTCACAGTGATGTAGAAGAACAGTACTAGCTGGAAGCAAGCGTTATCTGCATGAAAAAGAGATGTACGGCTAGAACCTATTGATTGGTGCTAATACAAAGAGGAGCAGCCTTGCAGGACAAAACCAAAGGGATTTGTTATGAATCAAGAAGGCAAATGTGTTACAAAGCATTTTTCATATCATTCTTAGTCAAACTGAGCGGTAGCCAAGGCTGGATCCATGAACTTAGATCCATGTGAACAATTCCCAAAAAGCCAGTAAATCTCTTAGACACTTACAAGCTCTCAGTACCTATTTTTTAGTCAGTAAAGTTACTCAGACATGGGGTACTCTGCCATTACCCAAGCCCAGAATTGCAACCATGCCAACAGGGATGTATCGACCTTTTTTCCTGAAGCCTAAAGAGCCTCCCTCTTGTATGTGTCTCTTGAGAAGCTGCTGCCTGATAGTTTGCAACCTGCATTAATTTGTGTCCACGGTCAGGTCATGGTATACGCAGACCAAACGAAATTATTAGTGTGGTTCTCCTTCCTACTAAATTCTTTGTAATACGCTCAGCAGGTCCTACAGAACCAACTCATTTCCACGCTGAATTGCAGTTTGCAGCATTGTAGATATACCCGCAGGATTACAAGTTTCACGCATGGGCTCTTGCTGCCTCTAAATACAACGTGTTCCCCAGCTCTTTCAGTGAAACAGCTGTTTGGGAAGGATTATTTTATGTCAGTGTGTGAGAATCCGGGTGCAAGAGCATTGTACGAAGAACACTGACAGGACATGTATTTTGGAACAACTAGGTACATGCTAGTATGGTACAAACTCTCGGCTTTATGAGTTCACATCTGGGCTTTGTGAGTTTGACATTTTGTAAAAAAAGCTTTTCTTTGACAGAAATTGTTTCAGATGATACGAGTACAAAAAATAACATAGTTTGATAGCCAGCATTGCAATGTGACATTTATGCTGTCTTGGTTGGTTGAACATGATAAAATAATTATTAAAAGGAGTGAGGTAAATGCTTATTTCCCAATTCAGCCATGAAGAAATTATTAGCATTAAATAAGCATTCTGTGTGATACATTAAAGTAGTTTATTGTGCTTGATCTAATTTCTGGTAGCGTCCATTTTACTGTGAGAATGATATTGGTTTTGAAATGTAAGCAAAGAAACCAAAGACTGAATGAGCCTAAACTTTAACAAGCCTGAAGCCAAACTGCTCTCTCCAATATCAGTTTGTTTTCAAAACATTTTTGTAAGCTTGCACTGTATATAATCATGCTGTTCCTGTTTATGCATTGTTATTTCCAAGGTCATTAATGTGTGTTCAAAAATATGTTTGAGGGGGGGAAAAAAATCAAGTTGCTCTTTTTTACATCCTTAATTATTTTCCATTTTGATATTAATTTTGCCACAGCAGAAAGTAAACAACAGCTGAGAGCTGGAGGAAGACCACGAAGGTAAGAGAAATGTGTGGGTTTTTTTCTGGGCAGAAAATTTTCCTATGAAAGCAATACACAGTGTGGTTAAAATAGTGTTGTGATACCACAGGAATACTAACGCCTAGGGTCATGCTGCTGACTGCGTGGTGCATTTTTCTGTATCTTTTAGAGGAAAATAGAGACTTATTTCCCAAATGGAGATGCAGACAATTTACAAAGTTTCTGCAGTGTGGGTAAGGTAGGGAGGTATGTTTGAAAGCAGTAAGCATTGAACTTGGCTGTGATTTAAACTGATGCCTTAACTTCAGTGGGAGGAAAGTTAGCCCAAACCTGCTTTATTTGAAAACTCTGCCTTTCAATCTTTTGGTATTTTGAAGGAAAAAAGAAGTTGTGAAAGCCTTTCAAGATATTATTTTTTTAATTCTAGGGCAGCAAGCTCTTCTCAGAATCTCCCAAGGCTCAAACATCAGACAGTGCAACGACCGTTGTCAAAAACTTCACCTGGGAGCACAACAGAATTTAAATCATCCGCCACGGAGAGCCCCAAACAGGTTTAAACGTGTTTTATCTTGGCAGCATTAGAGTGGAAATTCATGTGATTTTATTTTCAGAGGCTATAGGCAGCAAGAGGATGCGAGTTACACAATTATTAGTTGTGTAACTAATGGGGTTTACTAATTATGTAATTTAAGGATTATAGATGCAAGACTTAAGGAGAATATGCTTTCTGGCTGTGAGCTGGGGAGCAAGTCACAGGCAAAAATTAGAGGAAAAGGATTCATATAATCCAACCTATACTGAAAGCAACTAGAGTTTTCCCATTAACACCAGCAGATTCCTCCTTTAGTGCCAGAAAGGCAGACAAACAAACCAAGTAGAAAGTCTGGTGTCAGTTGTAAGCATCTTCACAGTGCATAAGGTGTTCGAGTTTGGGGGAGTAATTTGGCTCTGTAATTTTTCAGTTTTGTGAGTCTCATTTTGGTAAGATTCCTGTGAAAACTACTTTATTGCCATCCCTTACAGAGGATGGAGCAGGAACAGCCGGCTGGTGGGCAAGCACCACGTCTGTTACAGCTTTTGAGGAACTGGGTGAAGGAGAACCTCTTTTTTTTTTTTTTTTTTAAAGTCCTTGTCTATATTCCTGCATGGGGAGGAGCTCATGTCTGACCAGTTCTCACCCTTTAAAAATAAAACATTAGCTTTTGGATTTTCCAGCAAAAACTGCTGTGAAGTGAATGTCAAAGTAACTTATAATCCTAAGATGGCTCCTCACTTCTGAGTTGATACGCTGTGCCTTATACTTGCCTGTCGTTTCCACTGTTCATGTTTCTTCTCATAGCTATGTAAAATGCAGATTTCTGCAACTTAAAATGGAAGCTCTGTGCATGAAATAACTTGAATGCTGAGCTCTAGAGCCATGGCTTTCACCACTGTTGCCATCAGTCAGATGAAGTCTAAATGCACAACAGTGTTTGACAAATACAGGATTACTGTTGCAACTTCCATGTAATGATACAGCACATCTGGGCATGTATGACAAGATGGGATGATACCTATAACAGAGTGATATCTGCAACTTATCTACTTGGCAACACATCGATTTTAAAATTGATTTTTCTTCAGAATAATGACAGTGCGGTTACTCTGGAGCAATCTGACTTTGGCTTAAGCATCTCGGCAATCAACAAAACTGGAGGAGACAGCACTCACCCAAGAAGAGTTGGTGGAAACCTAGTATGTGATTTGTGGTAGAAATGTGTATGTAGAAAAAACACATGGAATTTTTTCACAAATATCAAATGCGAGCTTTTTGTGTCTATTTTTATATAAAATGTTCCTGTACAATTAGCTGAAGGGTCAATTTTGTGATTTGAGCAGTAATTCTTTGCATTGCAAAGAAATTGCATTAAACAGTATTTCAGACATTGTCAAGAAGGAAAAATATTTCTGTTTTTAAAACCCAGTGGTAACAGCTAAAATTGAAGATAAACTTCAAATTCCCAAATGAGATGATAAGAGGCTCTGCAGTTAAATTGTTGCACTGACTGAGGAGATGTGCGTTCTTTTCCCATTGCTACCGCAGATTCTGCGGCAGTTTTTGCCATATGTAGGACTGTGTGTGCAGTAAGGAAACTCATTGCTGTAATGGCAAGCAAAATTTGGCCCAGTGCAGTTTTAACAGTAGAGCTACCATCATGGTAAAGCCTATCACAACATTATTTTTTCCTTTAGGGCCAAGTAATTGACTTCCATGGGACAATTCAGGATGCCATCAAAGTATCATCAAATGGAATAGCCTTGAACAGCCTTAATTGTGATCCAGATCCATCAGTAAGTGTTTCTGTTCGTATTTCCATCCAATGAATACGAACATCAGTTTTACATAACCAGGAACAAAATAAAATACTGTAATGATGTTGTCTTTCTTCCTAAATGCTGAAAAAGGGCTTAGGGGCTTAGATTTCTGAGTGGTGTATTTACTTCTTGAATGGACAGTCATACTTGATACTGCTCTAATTTGTTGACATTTGTTTACTCTTTGAACGTGATAGTAGGCAACAAATACAAATGATACCTTATGATTTACAAAAAAAAAAAAAAAAAAAAAAAAAAAAAAAAAAAAAAAGCAGAAACCCACAGAACTCCTGAGGGTGAAATTCTGGTTCCTTTTAATTCAGTATGTTATTCAGCATTTGCCTCAGCTGAGACAAGAACAGAGTTTAGATGGTTGAGGTAGGAAAATTTTCAGTAAAGTAATCACTCCTTGACACAAGCCATAGCTTCTAGGACAGCGCATCCAACTTACTCAGTGCCGTTCCACCTGGCAACTGCTACACTTGAAGAGACTTTCAAAACAGAGTATGTGGCGGTGTGGTGAACTGTATTTACATTTTTCACTCCTCTTAATCTGTGTAGGGCATGTTTAGGACTACATGTGCAATAAAAGAGCTGCTCATTTTAATGTTAATTCTGGATTAGATTCTGTCAGATGAAAAGATGAGTTACTGCAAATATGGCTTACTTAAAAATCTTTATTATTATCCGTATTTTTACAGCTTTAAAAGTTGATATTATTATGAAGTATCAGCTTTTTTGAAACTATTTCATAGTTCGTCTGTTTAAAAAGAATTGAAGCCTGACAAGAACTTATGTTTGGTCTTTTTAGGAACGATTATTGAAACCCCTTAGTGCTTTTATTGGCATGAGTGGTGAGATGAGAGAACTTGCAACAGTCATAAGCAAAGTAAGATCGGATCTCCATTTTGGTTGTGTAGAGACCTTGGTTATCTTTGTCATCTGAGAATGCAATTTGTTTCTTTTTACTCTTACTGATAGTGCTTATTCTTGAATGCACAAGCTATTTTTCTTATCATGCGACTCCCAACAAGTCATTTCTTTACATGTAACGATGTTTCTTTCTGATACACAATGGGAGGAAGTAATTAAGACCGTTCCTTTCTGATGGGGAACATGTAATCTAATCATGCTGTACCCGTGGGACTGTTGTGGCTTTTCCCTTTGTTCTTATTGCTACAGAAAATGTACAATACTTCACTGAAAAGAGAGATTTAAATATATTAGCTAACACCAACTATTATCTAATGTATTATCTAACTGTGATCAAATGGTGGGAAAAACCTTGATTCAACTCTGTGGGTGCAGTTTGGATTCAATGTGGATGGTGTGCCAGTATCGCAGCAATATCCCGATTCTGAGTTTATCAAGTAGGTACCATGTACAAAAATAATTAGACAGTGATAATCCCACATTCTTTTAATACCAGTCCTGTGCCTTGCTTTGCACTGCCTGCACCAGCTGGACTCCTCGCCTTTTCTCGCTTGGCACGGCTGAGAGATGCTGTTACTGTAGGCTCTGCAAGCAGCGCCCTTCCCTCATCCCAGCAGAGGAGCTGCACGGGCAGCTTCAGTAATACACTCTATCCCAGGGCAGAGCGGGGATTCTTCCAGGATGGGCAGTTTGGCACCTGGAGGGAATCCCAACATGGTCACCACCATTTTATTTCACTCATGGGTCAACGTGCAGTCTAGCAAACGGCCCCTGGGCTAGTGGGGAGCAGTGGCTACGGAGCAGATAAATGCTTTGCATACATCACCTCCCAAACCCCACTAGAGACTTGTCCAAAAGGCTTCATAGTATCGCAGTATTTCATAGTGTTGTGACTCTTTCTGGATATAAGCATCAGAAATGGTATCAGCTGTTGCTCCCACATACTTAAAATCAGCTGTTTACAAGCCTGGAAGACTTTTGCTGACTGATTTTTATAGCTGTGTGTGGCCCAAATTCTTGATCTGCAAGTTTTGCATTTGCAGTTTAGTAGAACTGAAGTCTAAGAAATTTCCAACTTTGAAGTAAGAAAATTCTCATTAATTTCAATTCCTGACTGGTTTTTAATTTATGGTAAACCTGTAAAAATAGTGTTGTTCTTGCTGCTACTTTAGCAAAAAGCAATTAGGGTTGCTTTAGCCTTCATTGTGGTATGTTTTTTAAATTGTGCTGGTATGTTCCTAGTTGCTATGGTAATCAACACTGTGTAAATCAATAAAAATAAATAGCATGTGGTATCTATTTCACAACACAATCTAATTTAATTTGGAAACAGTTATGGAAGTCTCTACTTAGTGTCATAAATCTGATTCATCTTAATTTGCTGTTAGTAGAAAGGGAAAGTATAATCTACTCTATATAAATAATTTTTCTAATTGTATTAAATCAAATTTTCCCCTCGGATATAAGCACATAATTTTTCTTCAGTCTCTGGGGACTGCCTGTTTTTGTTGGAGAGCAGAATTTATCCCAAGTATTTGTATTGAGGATATGATATTTTTTGCAGAACAATTAGTCTCTGGAACTCGAAGCCACAAAATATTACTAAGGCAAATGGAAAGATTTATAGAAGACTTGGAAAGTTTGATGAATTAAATGAAATTAATTTAGTGAGTGCTTCAGGGCATAGACTAATTACCGACTATCTTTCGATAGATGCTTAGGGGAAAATTTTCCTCCTGTTGGAGCTTCTCACACCTTTTCTTGCAGCATATAAAATCTTGCATAGTGTGGAGTAAATAGCAACCTTTCACTGTTACTTAAAACATGAATAATAGGTACAGGCATAAAGCTACTGAGCATCAAGTTTAAAAAAAAGGGAAGTGTTTTCACATTGCACATGATTAAACTGTGGAACTTATTACTACAGAATAAGCATGCTCAAAAAAGAGGTAGGAGAAATTCACTGAAGAATGAATGTCAAAGGGTGTTTGAACTAAGATGTAATTTTAATTGTTGAAGTCCTTCGGTTGCAGATTTTGGTGGATGTAAATATGAACCAACATGTCACTCCTGCTGCTTAAGCTTTTTTTTTGTTTTTTTTAAACATCCAACACTTGCCAGCATCAGAGACAAAATATTAGGCTTGGTGAACCTTCATATCATGATAGCTCTTCATATGTTAGCTGGTTACTAAAACCAACTAACAGAAAACAGGTGGGAGAAACAGATCTGCTCAGCATATACATTTGGCAGTGTATATGCTCTTTGGGAAACTAGGGGCTTGAGGGGAAGCAAAGCACTGTGTAGCACTTCTGTAGAAATGATTGCTCTCTAATCTTTCCTCTTGTGAGGTCCCTAGTACGTAGGGTTAAATAATACAGTCTGTATCACTTAACAGCACTCTTACTTTATAACCGAGTCGATTCTTTCAATTTGCCAGAGGTCGTTATCCTAGTGCAGAAGAAGTTTTACTAACAGGATGCAATGTATGTTGCAGGACATTTATCTCCATAATCCAAACGTGAAGTGGGATGATATTATTGGACTGGATGCAGCTAAAAGGCTAGTCAAGGAAGCAGTTGTTTATCCCATAAGGGTAAGGCGCTAAATAGTTTTGAGAAAACCAGTGTTGGGCTCGTTAGCATTTTCCTTGTCATTACAGTGGTGTTTTAGAGTTCTCACTATTTCTGTGCTTTTGTAGGCAGTTCATGTTAGAACTATGCCTGTTCCTGTTTCATCTGACAATGGCATACGCATTCTCCTGTAGGAAAATGGGCTTTCGATATTAAAATTATAAGTGTTGGATCCTATTCTTTGGCACCTTTGGCAATGTAAGAGGTGCTGGATTTGGCCTATATTAATTCAATGGAAAATGACTTATAGAAGAGAATATCAAACCAATTGCATTTGAAAAATTCACTTAAAACAGATTTCAAATGATAAATACAGTATTTTTCTCAGTACTCAGATCATATGTATTATATTGTTTCGGAGGGGTTTTATCCCCCTCTCTTCAAATTTCTTAGGTTTCCTGAATGCATTAGGAGCAGCGGGAGTAGGGGTTAGAATCCCTTGCATTTTGTTATAGATGATACATTTTTAATCCCTGAATTACTTTTTGGTTTCTTCAGTACCCCCAGCTGTTTACAGGCATTCTGTCTCCTTGGAAAGGATTATTGCTGTATGGACCACCAGGTACGAAGAGCTTTATACCATAGCCATTTGTTTTATCACTACCTCTGTTTTTGTCCCACGGATAAGTCATTCATGCTAATTAGATCAAATGTGTCAATAAAGAACATGTTCTGTAATGTGAAATAAAAGGAGACAATGGTGGATGATGACATCTGCCTCTTACACTCAAACCTGTCCATTTGCTTTTCTCACAACCCTTGACTATTTCTACACTTGAATCTTCTAAAAAACCAGTACTTATACTAACTATGCAGAGGAGTGAGAACATGTATCTGTTGTTACTCAGCTTGGGCCATACTAATCAAGTTTGGCTTGACCTGATCTTATAAAATGTGAATAAATCTGGCATGGACTCACCTTCTTAAGGAAAACAGCCTTCCTTTCTTCTGGATTTAGGTGTTGATTTGGAAATGGGGTGGAAGCTTTGCCCACTGCTGTGCTAGCTGGGTGGTTTCCATGTCGGCACAGCTTCACTGCTCCCTCTGCTCCACCTTGACACAAGCACCACCACCATGAGTGGGGCTGGGAGGGGACAGAGGGGACACGCACCGCTTGAGTCAGGTTGCAAAAGCTGTCACTGCAGTAAACTCCATTTGTTCCTGTGAATGTTTAGATGTACTTGCCACTGAAGGCATCTTGACCTGTAGTCGGCTATAGCATGTAGTATTTCAGATTTTGGGGAATGTATTTGCAGTGCTGTGTTATCTGAGTTTCTCCAGACAATCCTGGAAGGACCACAAAATGATCTAAGGGCTGGAGCCCCTCTCCTACGACGACAGGCTGAGAGAGCTGGGGTTGTTCAGCATGGAGAAGAGAAGGCTGCGGGGAGACCTGACTGCGGCCTGGCAGTGCTGGCAGGGGCTCAGGAGAAAGATGGGGACAGGCTTTTTAGCAGGGCCTGTAGCGATAGGACAAGGGGTCATGGTTTTAAACGAAAAGAGGGGAGATTCAGACTGGATCTAAGGAAGAAATGTTTTACGCTGAGGGTGGTGAAACACTGGCACAGGGTGCCCAGAGAGGTGGGAGATGCCCCATCCCTGGAAACATCCCAGGCCAGGTTGGACGGGGCTCTGAGCACCCTGACCCAGTTGAAGATGTCCCTGCCCATGGCAGGGAGGTTGGGGTGGATGGCCTTTAAAGGTCCCTTCCAACCCAAACCATTGGATGATTCTATGACTTTTTCTATTTCAGTGTTTTTATCTGAGTGATAGTAGGATGAGGGGAATTATTCAAACATTTGCATTGTATTTCTTTAGAGAGTGAATTTCTTCAACATTGTTGTTTGTAGGTACTGGAAAAACTTTGCTTGCTAAGGCTGTTGCCACAGAATGCAATACAACTTTTTTCAACATATCAGCATCCACCATTGTCAGCAAATGGAGGGGTGATTCTGAAAAACTTGTCCGGGTAAGAATTATTATTTTATTCATTATACTTTAACAAACATCAGGTTCCCACTGAAAGAACTAGAGTTCACAGAACTGGAAAGTGAGTATTCCTCTGATACTCATAATCTTTCCTATCTGGGACAAAACATGTAACTATTCATATCTGGTTCTTAAAATGGGAATAACGTCACTTCTGCAGAAGCCTCACAATGGATTCTTGCTGTGGAATTTTAGTTCTGTAATGTAAGATGAAGCAGATGTCCTGAAGGCAGCAAAGATTTTTGACTCACTGAATAAGAGACAGGCAAGCAGAGTTCCTAACTAAAATACTCTTTGCTTAGTGACCCCTTCAAAGCACTTCACATCCTTTCTGCAAGGCTCAGCTTCTAGGATCCCTACAAAATGTTATTTAGATTCCCAAAGTCGCTACTATTAGTCTTCAGAATTGGCAAAGAATTCCTTTGTCACAAAGATCTTAGTTGTTTTAAGGAAGGTAATTTGATGGTAAATGGATAAATGTCTTTTTGCATATAGACTAGGAAGTAGCACACATGGCTCAACTGTGGTACAAAAAAATTCAGGGATTCAGGTGTAGCTTCCTTGCCCTAAGATGCCCATCCTAATCCCTCTATAATGTCCACCATTTCAGTGTAAGGAATCCACAAACTCTTAGCCTTCCTTTACACTCATCTCTTAGACTACACTTCGGATAGATACAGAGCTCTTGAAAATGAATAATTGTGTCAGGCTGCACTCAGCAAATGGCATTACAAGCATTGTTAATCTCCCTTGAAATTTAGGCAGTGTCTGCAACATAATTATTCTTCACGTCTCCTTTGTCCTTTAAAATGGCACATTTTTCTTCCGACATTCACCTCCTATGTTACTGATCCTCTTGACATTTGTCTCGGTAGCTTCCTAGAAGTTTCCCTTCTGGCAGGAGTAGGGATGGGACAGTCTGGTTTTTGACACCACTATCCAGAAGGGTTTTTGTGAACATGCTGCAGCATTTGCAATGATACTGAATCTGTGGCATTTCACCCTTTGTTGAGTTTCTTGCAGAATCCAGAAATGAAATAAGATTGTAGATTGGGACAGCTCTAAGAAAAGTATTGTGTGATTTTATATCCTAAAATCACATGAGGCTGGTGCAGGCGTTTTCTGAAGTCGTGTGAAGTATATGTGGGTTTTGTGCTCATTTGGAGGCATGTTCGCCCATCCAGTTCTCAGCTGTGTTGGTGTGATTTTATATTTTAGATTTGTAGTAAAATTGTAGACTGCAAACTGTCAGCACCTTTTGCATGAGAGCAGTGATAGCGGATGTAGAAACAGAACTGATATCATAGCATCCAGTTTTTGTTTCAACCATCTTGGAAAAGCCATTTATATGGCAAGAGTATTATATAATCCAATATTCTACTTAATTGCAAACTTTTGCTTCCTTAAACAATACTAATTACAGTGCTGGTCATGGACTACTTGTGACTCTGGGCAAGTACTTTAAACCCTGTGCTTCATAGCCAAAGAAAATAATATATATCTTTTTTTTTTAAGTGTTCAAAATTACAAAGTGCTGGATTAATATATCTTGTTAGTGATATTTATTTAAAAACTCACAGAACACTTCACTGAAGAAGAACTGGCAATATGTTTTACTGCTAATATAAGCTTCTCCATGTTTACAGAAAAATAGATGAAACTTCTTTCTCCAAAAGGCAGACCCAGATTTTGTGTGTCAGCTTAATATTCCTTTTTTTTAATCTTGATTGTTCAAGCAGTTTATGGTTGTTTTCACCAGGAAAAACAAAAGAACTGCTTGATTCTTATCAAGAGAATCTTCTTTCATTATGGTTCAGCTGATTTTTAATTTTTTTTTTCTCAAATCCTTATTAAAAAAACTACAAATGGAGCAACAACAAAAGACGGATGTTTAATCTCTGATAACAATTTAGGAGTTCCCGGAATCCTTTGATGGATCATTTTCTTCTATCCCATTATTCGCAGGGTACTCTGATAGGATTTAGCCAGAAAGATTTACATATAAAGACAGGATTACAAGCCTGTGTTCTTTATATCTCCTTTACAAACCTTTCAGAATTTGAGAGGATTCAGGGACCCTCAGCCTACCCAGAGCTTTTTCCCAGCAGATATCCCTTTTTGTCCTAGAAGTTTGGAATGTGGCTACTGTTATTTATCTTCTGTGCCAGTGGCCCTTAATGCCTTTTTGTGTTAGTTTACCTTTCTTTTACATTTACTCTTCTCTCTAAACAGGTGTTATTTGAGCTTGCCCGGTACCATGCTCCTTCCACAATTTTCTTGGATGAGCTGGAGTCAGTTATGAGTCAAAGAGGCACTGCTGCTGGGTAATGGATGAGAGCACTTCTTACGGCTTTAGCAAAATATTTGTCCCCCTTTTACTGCAGCTTTTGAATAGTGTGTGTGTGTGTGTTCAGGTGCTGACCAATGCTTAATCCTAGAGTGTACCTGTTAGAAACAAATCTTAGCTAAACTAAAGCCTGAGGCTACTCTATAGACTTCAACAGCAGCATGATTGGGCCCCTGAAAGACTTGTCTCCTAGATTTTGTAGACATTATAATTACTTCGACTGATAATAGTAACTTTCTTGACTTTTTATTAAGCAATTTTTCTTTTGTTCTGTTGTCAACTTTAGGAGCCTCGCAGTGTGTTATTGTCAGAACACCTATCGGCTCCAAAAGTACCGCTTCATGGAAGCGTTGCATACGCCATGGGGATTTAAAGAGCGAGCTGTAGTGGTTGTTTCATTCGCAGTAGATGAGATCAGGAGAGAAGCAAGCGTGAAAGACAGGTTGTGTGAAGATTAGCAAGGGTCTATGGGTCCAGCAAGACTGTGAGAAGGAGAGAGGTGCAAGAGTGTATAATTGTGGTGCTGTACTTTAAAATAAGGGATTTGAAGTGGAAATAAAGGCAGCGGAGGAGATGACTTGTTAGAGGCGAGTAAGAAGCAGCTGCTTTTGTGACGCTTTGGACAGGCTTAGGCATAGCAGGGTAAGACAAAAGTGTACACGGTGGAATGGCATTTTCATTAATGGGATAAATTTTGGTGTCACTGTCAGGACTTCCAGATGCAGGAATGGGAGGATGTTATTATTGTCATCGTGGCGTAGACAGTTTATAGTTAAAAACAGATTGAAAAGGTTAGGGATGGGGAAAAAGCAGGAGAAATATAAAGATATTGTTATAACCATTAGGAGCCCATTACAGTGGATTTTATATACTGTAAATTATATGCTCACAAAGATTTATAAATAGAATACGCCATATCATAAAGATACAACTTGTAATAATTTTCAGTTAATAGCTATACGTTATGGGCCAAATTTTGCCTTCACGTATACTTTTAAAAGCTCTCATTACCATCACTGGATTATATATTTTAATAAGGATTTTTATTTAAGATTATGTAGTTATTTTTACATATCCTTATTAAATATTGACTTGGCACCGATGTGTGGATGCCTTTGCAGAAATACGCCATTAAACCTGCATTGTAGCTCTTGCCATCTAAGGCCCTGATGTTTTCTCTGGGTTTGATCCAGGAGTTTCCAAGAACTCCACATCTGGGACCAAAAGTTCAAAATGTTTCTCTGCAAAACTGGTTACCTGGATCAGAGCCAGAATTCTTAGCACTTGGCTTAAGGAAGGATCCTTTCTGTGTGGTCTCTGCCCCATTTTTAAATTCACTTCAATACGGCATATTTTTCTGTTTGCTTTTGATAGAACATTTTGCAAAATATTGAATTCAGAAGTAGGTGTATCTTCTTGTGGCCACTTAACATTCACTCACAGCAAAATGCCAGTAGTTGCCCTGAATAGGTAGGTGTGTTAGTTATTTAACGGCAACTATCACATTATAAAGATTCTCTTGTATAGATCAATCAATCAAAGCCTTAGCTGTTTTCCAGTAAACATCAATGTTGAGTGGAGATTAATGTGAAGAAAAAAATAAAAAGAAATATTTTCTTTGGATTCGGGAATAGTGAATTCTTCTCGCTTTAATACACTGAAAAGAGTCCATTTAAGTAATCATTAGAAAGCTTGATTTTAATGCTTAGATTTTAGCTAATGGAGCTTAATCATGCTTTGAACTGGGGCAAAACTGTGACAAGGGCTCAGTTGCTGTGAATGACACTGTATAAATAAAGATGATTACTTTAATGCACTGAGCAAACAATATTTCTCTGAATCTTGGTAGTGGTGAACATGAAGGAAGTCGGCGGATGAAAACAGAATTACTGGTGCAGATGGATGGCTTGGCCCGATCTGATGATCTTGTATTTGTTTTAGCAGCTTCCAATCTGCCATGGTAAGAGATCCAGAGAGTACATTTTGAATACATTTGCATGAGCTTCTAAGCACAGATAAAGATTTTATTTAGACTTTTGCAGAAAAGGCCTTGATATTTGGTTAAAGCATTTAAAGATTAATTTGGAGCTTTTACTTTTAAACTCTACAGTTCTTGCTATTTGTGCCACATGAGAATAATCCGTAATAAAGTCAACATATGCTGGTGCTACCAGCTGCTAATATTTAAAATGGAGTATTTGACTTTATAGGAAAGTTATTTACTATGTTTAAGCTAAGAAGGGTTTCAGCCTGGAACTGTAAGGTGCTTAAAACATCTAGTGCTTAGAAGGATACTCCATAAATAGGAATGTTGGATTTTATTGGTATCAAATGTGACTTTTAAAAGTTGAGGGACAAAATTCTTCGCTTTCTTTAAGATAATTTAGAATAGAAGAATAAACAGTTTAAGATTGGAACTAGGGCGCTTCATCGTGTTGGTTCTCAAGATGGGCAGGACGTGTATTGAGAACAAGACAGACAGGATGAGGTAGGGAGGTAACATTTGTAGTGTAACAACTGTGGGTGCTTGGGGGAGTCCACCAGACAGCAGAAAATGGCCAGCTCGTGGGCTCTTCTTGAATAGCATCTCCCATGGCCACTGCCAGAGCCAGCGTGTTGATCTGGCTTGATCATTCATCTGAACTAGTGCAGTGTATCTTTTTCTTTCATACAAAACATTAGCAAATGGTCCCAAATGGTACACGGGGAAAACAGCGGCTGTTGGTTAAGCACAGCTATTTTTAACAGTCTGATTTGTAGCTTACTAATCATTTCCCAGAGTAGGAACCAACACCTGTACAGGGAATTGAAGCACATTGATGATGGGCTTGGTTTTGAAATTAGTTTTCATAGGTCTGGAACTAGTCTGTGGATTTCTGTCTGCCCCAAGATTCCCCCTGTCCCTGGGCAGGGGAAAAGGAAATCCACTGAAATCTTCAGTGGAAGAAGATCTTTTCCAACAGAGAAATCTGGGCCTTGGAAGCAGAGAGGGGAACCTCAGCAAAGTAAACTGTGGAAATTACCTGTTTGGTGAGGGACAGTCTTGGAGGCAGGTGTCTGCAAAAAAGATGAGTTAGGCCTAAGAAGGGTTTTTTCCATGCTTCCTCCTCTCCCTGAAGTGTTCATGAAGCAGGGGTGTACAAGGTGTCTGCTTGGGGCAGACTGAATGGCTGGTGTTTTGTAGTTTGCTGATCGTCAGAGCACTGAGGTCTTTCTCGGTATCTGTGTCCCTAAAGGTGTGCCCACCTAAGCGAGCCTGTTCACCTCTCATAGGTAGAGGTGGTCAAGCTAGGAGTCTGAAAATGAGAAGGCAGCAGTCCTGTTTCCAGGGAACTTCAAACCATGGTCTGGGAAATGTTTGGTGGAGCCCCGTGGCAGTTGTTCCCAGCAATGACCTTGTGCGAGCAGTGGCTCAGCAGCATTTCAGGTGGCGATACTTGAAATTTGACTGAAAGGCACGTTGTTCCTTGATGTGACTCTCGCCCGGCTCTGCAGCGTGACGGCTGCAGAGCAGAGGATCCAAAACTGGCCGGGAGCAAGTGAAGGCTCTGCACCCACAAGACCACAGGCTTCATTCCTGGATTGCTTTTCATGATTAGTGATTTTTGGCTGATTCTCATGAGGTTGCTGTAAGGAAATGTGTTGGAAAAGCCTCTCTGTGTGACTGGAGGGCTCTGGGCTGGGATCAGCAGGCTGTTGCTGGCTGTAGGGAGCATCTGAGTCTGAATGACACAGTGTGTTTATCCACAGCTGCTTGCTTTTGAGTACTTATAAAAAAGCATCAACTCCTAGTGCATATTTTATTTTGTATAACGTACGAATGCACTTCTCAGTCATGACACACCACCTAATGTTCTCTCACAAAGTTTGTGGTAATGCTTTATTCTTTCCTCAGCTGATTCACTTTTTGGCAGGCCTGGCTGAAAGGCCAAGGGAAGAGGCAAAGAGAATTAAACAACAGAAGTGTTGTTGGTGCCTCAGAATTGAGGCTCAAAGGTAATATTTTCAATCAGTGCCATGTGGCCTGTAGGCCTGGCCCATTTTAAAACATGTTGGTGCTGAGAAGCCCGAGTCCTTCAGAGACGCAGAAGGATGGGGCCAGAGAGATGGCTCTGTGGATGCTTGTGCTGTACAGTATTTCCTGCATGATGAACAAAGGTGTTTTACCCCAGTCTGTTCTCTTTCGTAAACTTTGTGGGCAGTGTTCACATAGAATCATAGAATATATCAAGTTGGAAGGGATCCATAAGGATCATCGAGTCCAACTCCCTGCTCCTCACAGGACTACCTAGAACTAAATCATATGACTAATAGTATTGTCCAGATGCTCCTTGAACTCTGACAGGCATATTAAGACTGACAGAAATAAGAAAATCTCTAGCAGCTCCAAGTAGTCACTAGCACAGCACATAATTTTGGCACCTAAGGTAGAAGGCAAGTTTCCCCTGCTATGAGACAGTCAACAGCAAAACAACAGATGCAGCGATTCAGAGCAATCGAGAGACCCGCAGGGGTCAGTGCTGTTTAACATCTTCATCAATGACTTGGACGATGGGACAGAGCGCACCCTCAGCATGTTTGCAGATGCTACAAAACTGGGAGGAGTAGTTGATAGACCAGATGGTTGTGCTGCCCTTCAGAGGGACCTCGACAGGCCGGAGGAATGAGCCCACAGGAATCCCGTGAAAGCTCAAGCGTGGGTGATCAAACTCTGGCACGGGTTGCTCAGGGAGGTTGTGGAATCTCCATCCTTGGAGATGCTCAAAACCTGACTGGATGCGGCCCTGCGCAACCTGCTCTGGCTGACCCTGATCTGAGCAGGGCGTTGGACTAACTGATCTCCAAGAGATGCCTTCCAACCTCAGCCATTCTGTGATGCTGTAAATCAAAGCAGGGGCCTAATCTAGGTACCCTGAGAGTAATTTGAAGTATTTCTCTCTTCTGAATGTAAGAAAGGCTAAGGGGAGTGGTCTTGGAAGTTAGACGTAGAGCCATAGTTACTGCATAAAAACAGGCAGTGTGTCACCCTTCAGTATCCCTCATTAAAATTAGATAAATTAAATACCTAAGAAGTCACTTGAGAATTACTCGGTTCTTCTCTGATGTAAAGGCTGGAGTTTCTGTCCATCATGGGAAGAGATCCAATCTGCCTCCTTCTGCAAGCCTGTCTTACCCCCTACATTTTCTTTCCCAATGCAAAGCCTTATGTTTCGCATACAATCAAGGAAGGATGCTTCTGAGAATCACCAGGCGGACATCTTACCTGCTGAAATTCAAGTGCCAAAGTGGCAACGTATTCGGAGGCTTTCATCTGCCTGCCCAGGGCTTTCAGGCTCTTTAACTAGGAGAATGCCTGCGTGGGCACCTAAATTTATGTAGAAATTAGATGTACAAGTTAGGGTGGTTCCTACTCTGGCCCAACAGTGTGAGTACAAAGCCATCGCTGGCTTTTATAGCCCCTGTTGGTTCGGGGGATTTATGCCTTGGACAAACTCATGAATTTCAATCAGCACAAAATCCACCCCATTTTGTGTTACTCTATCTACATGAAAGGAACTGAACAGAATTTGATTTAATTATGTTCCAGTTCTGTAAGAAAATGCTGAAAAATAAATAGCTACTGTGTGTGTGAACAGTTAAGTTTGAAAGAGAATTAATACATTAATAATCCATTTGCGTCTTTATGGTTCGTTAGTAATACATTATAAATGTTTGTTATTGTTTCACCCTTTTAGAAAGAGAAACTCTGAGCAGTGCATTGCACCTTTCTGTGGTCTCTTAAATTATCCTGCGAGTAGCTAAGCTTCACATGCAATGCTGCGGCATGGCAGTATTAAAAGGGATCAGATGCCTTTAGAGGATCCATGTCTTTCTACTCTTGCACACTGGTTTGAAAGGAAAAATTGAGTATTTGAAACGCACTGAGGAAGAGTTCAGACAGCGACTGGTCTGAAGGTCACTGTGTGGCTGCTGCGGGATCTTGGAGATGTGTTAATGTAAGCATGAGGCTGACCTCTCTCTGCTTCTGCAGAAAGAGATTCCTGCATGTGTCTTGTTGCCATGTGTCTGCCTTATGCAACCAATAAACTCTTTCTCGAAAGTCATGCAAAAATTACAGAATACAGTTTTGAGTGGTTTACGCATTTGATTTTGGATCATTTTGCAATCCTGAAGTGCTAATTTCTGCAAAATTGCTTCTTTGAAACATCAAAAATGACACAGCTTTTTTTAAGGTAGATCCAAAATGACAAGATTTCTATTTTGGGGGAACTGCTCCCACAGAAAGCTGGCAATCTGTGTTGGTACGAGGGTGGCATCTGAGCTGTTGTGAGAAGCCAGCTCTTGCTTTTGAAAATTTAATACCTGAGAGCTTAGAATTTCCTTTTGGACTTTCTCAACATTGCTCATGGGCAGGTTGGATTTTGTTCTCTCTTAAGTAAATCCAATCTATGAGCATAATGACTAGGTTGTCTGGCAGAAATGTGCCTACTGCAGAGAATACGCTTTAAGATGTGCTTAGAAAGGTGTTTTAGAGGGATGGAAAGCTCGTGAAAGCCATGGGCATCTTACATCGCCATTGAGGCTCACAGCCTCAAGGAATTTGGGAGTATCTGCTTCCAGAACGGTCGGCAGGGTTTGAACCCCCTTTAAGATCTCAACTATATCTTTACAGATTATTTTTATGTGTATTAGTTGACATTCAGTCCTACTGTAGGACCCCAGACTTCAGCTGCCTAGGGATATTTCATAACAAAGTTTCAAAAATATCTAGTACTACAGCCCGAGGTTGTGGCTTCACAGCACAGCCCTGTGTCCTTGCCAACATTTGGTATTAAGCTGGATTTCAAGAGATTTGTTTAACTTGGATATTTATTGATCATGAAAAACATTAATACCAAGCTGCTTTTAGATGAATGAAAAGAAGCCTAAACAAAGCTCTTTACGCTGTCCTAAGCTGCACTGCAGCTATTGATCTTCCTCTTCAGCCAGTGCTTGCCTCCCAGCCTCGCTTCCTGCTACTCATCAGCAAGGCACATTCTATTGACAAATTACTTGTTGAAATGATTCAACATAATTAAAATAAAGGCCTCATTAGTGAAGAAATAGCGATCCTTAATCACGTAGTGAATGTTTCCTAACGTATTTTAGTGCATTTAATTCAACTTCCATTGCAGTGCTGCTTTCTTCTCCCTCCCCACCCTTGGGATGGGTGAATCACAGAATCGTTTAGGTTGGAAAAGACCCTTAAGATCATCGAGTCCAACCATTAACCTAACACTGCCACATCCACCACTACACCGTGTCCCAAAGTGCCACATCTACCCGTCTTTTGAATACCTCCAGGAAGGGGGACTCAACTGCTTCCCTGGGCAGCCTGTTCCAATGCTTGACAACCCTTTCCATGAAGAAATTTCTCCCGATATCCAATCTAAACCTCCCCTGACGCAGCTTGAGGCCATTTCCTCTCGTCCTATCGCTTGTTACTTGGGAGAAGAGCCCAACACCCACCTCCCTGCCCCCTCCTGCCAGGAGCTGCAGAGAGTGATAAGGTCTCCCCTCAGCCTCCTCTTCTCCAGGCTGAACACCCCCAGCTCCCTCAGCCGCTCCCCATCAGCCCTGTGCTCCAGACCCTTCCCCAGCTCTGTTGCTCTTCTTTGGCTACGGGCTGATAGATTCTTCGCTTCTGTCCAAGCTGAGTCCTGTCAGAGCCGTGAACGCATGGCCAAAATGAGTTCAAGAAGAGGGGGGGGGTTGCAAAATCCAAATTGGATCTGGGATTGCCCCGTAGCAAGCTCTTCCCTTCACTCTCAGCAGTACACAGTGTGTACGGTGGAGGAAAGCAAGGAAGGAGAGTGGAGGAGAATGGTGTGGGGAAGCCCTAAGAGGAGAGCAGGAGAAGATGTGGAGTGAGAACAAGCCCTCAGCTTGTGGAGGCTCTCCCAGGCCATGTGCACAGGAGGATGGGAGGTGGGAAGGATGAGAAGCTCGCTCATTCTTGGTGCCTTTTCCTCCAGAGCGCTGCGGTGATGATCGCACTCGGCAGGGATTAATTATGGACCAGTTGGCCCTTGTGTTGTTTCTGGGTTCACCTCTGGAGTTGTTGAGGTTTTCTGCCTAAAATACATTTGTTACTCTTCTCTCTTCTGGAAATGAAAACAGGTGTCTTGTTTATCTTCATGAAATTTGAGAGTGATGACATGGCGTGATGCCTTGTGATGTCAGCCTGGAGGAGCACCATCTTTTATAGGTCCTGTACAGCTTTGTGTATCTTTTCATGAGCATTTCTTAATACTTTTATTGGCTATTATTTCAGAGAGTATTTTGGTTGGCTCAGTGCTTATTATTCTGTTCTGGTTAATGTCACTTAACCTTGCATTTGATCACTAACAAAACAATTTAGCAAACAACCTAAACACTGAAGATAACAAAAATATTATGTCTTTATTTTCCTCTTTAGCCAACAAGCAGGGTCACTGTAACCTTTCTGGATAAACAGAGCAACTTCTGTGTATCAGGGGACTGACTTATAGAACATGGCTAGGGAGCTCATGAAACTGTGATATTGGGGGACACCCCAGGAGTGCGCTGAAGCAGGAGGAGTGCTGGAAAACGTCATCATTTAGAAGATTTGTAGGATATTTGCAGAGACTCTGGCTGTGTTTGTCCTTTGCCTGCAAGGGCGGTTTAGAATACCTGCATGGGCGCCTCTAAAACCTTGAGAACTTTTGCTCTGTTTATGCGGAGGATGGTAATATGTAAATAACAGCCAAGGGGTTGGTCAGCCAGAGAGTCATTATTTCCAGCCAAGCAAAACGATTTTGAGGAGAAGTTGAGCTGAAAAATACATTTGGAAGGAGAGTGGGGACTCAAACGGTTCTTTGGTCTGGGTGGGACCCTGTGCGAGAGGCGTTGCACTGAATGTTGGATGGCATCTTAAACAGCCTAAAAATATCACTAATAATATCACTAATAATATCAGTATACCAACAGCCATTGATTAGCAAACTCTGGTATTTACTTCTCGGGCCTCGATTAGTCAAGTACTGGGATGGATCTGAGTGAATCGCTGTTGTCCTCTGAGTTTCTACTGATCTGGTTTTCTAAGCTTCGCTTTCATTGCCCTTGGCTCCGTGCACGTGGAAACAGCTCTCCCAAACCAATGTCATTTCTGGGGAGAGGGACATGTCTGCTCCCACTGTGCTGAGAGCCAGGCGTGCTGAGGTCTGTGGAAAACCTAGGCAGGCATCTAGATGGGGATTTGGGAGCCCATTTTTTGTGTTCTTTATCACGTTCTCGGCCAGTAGAAAACACTTGCTATTAAAAAATAAAGACAAGTCACCAAAGGTGACAGAAATAAGCTCTGTTGGTGTGCTACAGAATCTGTCTTCAGCTGGCTTTGAGCTCCCTGCAAATTAAAGAGGCATTTCATCCAAGAAGCGTTGCTTGAGTGTTGACTTTGCTGGCAAAAAGATTTCACCCAGGGAATCGGGAAAAGTAGAGGCAGGTTTATTTAAGTGTATCTGTGGCGCAGATTGCAGGGGCAGTCCTCCAACAGCTGGCTCCTTCTGCTCAGCCGACAAGGGTGGAATGGTGCTTAGGGCTCCTGTTTTTCTGTCTGCACAAGACCCACTGAAGTGAGTTTCCCCTTGACGAGAGTTTCTCGGCAGGTATGAGGACCTGAATTATATTTTAAACTGAAATAACAAGTCTGTGACTGAATGGGGCCGGTAGAGAAAGGTTGGTACAGCACTTGGAAGGTTGATAGCTCAGAGCAGCGCCTGGGAGGTACTGAAGACTTAGGAATGAGTAAATATTTAGTAGCAGCTATTTATTCTTGAAAATTGTGTGGATGGCTGGAGTACTTGTAGACCATTCCCGCTACACAAGTAACAAGAGATGAACTGGAGCAGGAATTTGTATTCAGTTGTTTGGTTGCATTACCATTAGATGCAAACAACTGAAAAGCACTTGGGAAAAAAAAAACTAGATTAAAATGAGCTGTTTGGATGTGTGTCTGAGAGGAGCTGGCGTGCCGGGCATGCCAGGACTCCTGACACTCGACAGAATCGGTGGCACTGGCAAGAAGGACTATTTCTAAATGGTGATTGAGAAAGGAACGGAAAGAAACATTCATTTTTCTTTCAAGCGTCCTTTGTGCATCACAAGCAAGTAAAAATGAAGAGCAGTCCCAATCTTTTGTATTTTACCTTTTTCTTTTTTTTTTTTTAGGCAAAACACTTTATCAGTGTTGATGTTGACAGCATCATGGGTTTTGGCTCAGTGACACATTTATCCAGCCTGTCCATCCCTCACATGATCCTTTTTATAAGGATACTTTCCTTTTTGGCTGTATTATTTGTAATTTGTATTGCAACAGCAGTCTCAGATCTGACGTCTTGTTCTGCCATAAACACGGCCCTCGCATCCAAGACCTTCAGTCTGTATTTTATACCTAGAAAGCATCCCTTACAAAGTAGCAACTAATTAGTCCTGACAGTGCCCCAGACAGACAATTTGTCGTGTCTTCTTAATAGCAAAGGGAGAAAGGGAGAGGTTATTGCTGATGAGACATGCTGCAGGTGAGTATCAGAGCCAGGGAAGATAACTACAACTTCTGATTGTTATTGTTAAGCCTCATTGACACAAGCCAGCGTATCGCTAACGTACTGAACAGGAATACACTGGATAATTACTCCTTTTTCTTTTTTTTTTTTTTTTTTTTTTCCAAATTAGGCTGACACAGTTGCAGGTGGGGTTGAAAAATGTCAGTCCCTGCAGCGAGGAGCTTGCTGTCAAAGCCATGTCTCTGCAACGAGACGCGCTGAGACGATTCCTCTCCTCCTTTACTTGCAGGGAGTTAGATTCTGCCATGCTGCGGCGGTTGGAGAAGAGGATTTTGGTTGACCTCCCAAGTAAAGAGGCACGGCGGGTGATGATCCAGCACTGGCTGCCCCCTCTGAGCAACAGCGGAGGAGTGGAGCTGAGAACGGATCTGGACTACAGCTTGCTGGGCCAGGTGAGACAGCTCTGCAGCAGGGACAATGCCCACACGGTGCTTGAGGCCTTTTCCGGGTGGGAACTGTAAGCAAGAGCGACGTGCGTCACCCACAGCGGTGGCATTACATTGTGGCAGAAGAGGTCCGAAGCAGAGGGTTGCGACAACACCTCTGTGTACGGCAATCGCGACACACACAGAGGTGGGGGAAGGACCTCAGCCCAGTTTGAGGCTCCAGCCAAAGGGAGATCCACAAGACGTGGGGCTGAGTATTTCACAGGCACGTACCTGGCCGTGGAAATCACTGGTTTCACACAGCTCTGCTTGCAAAATGATGTGTTCTGATCCTCTCTGTTGGGCCAATTTTTCAGCCTTAAATACAGGGAGACTTCCAGAAACAGTATATTTTATCACTCTTCTCACCAGGCTGGGAGCACTTCCAATTCATCAGGGTAATCAACAGTTAATTGCGTAGGGAAGGTTTGTCACAGCTCCACTGCTGCGGGAGAAAGGAGCATTTAGACAGTGAAGAGATTCACTAGATGCCCAGGCTTTCTTCATTTAGCCCTCTGTCACATCTTAAATTCTTTGAAAATATCTTACAGCTTACCCAGTGTTCAAAAAACGGGCAGAGGTGGCACTTTGGGACGTGATTTAGTGGGCATGGGGGTGTTGGGTTGATGGTTGGACTGATGATCTTAGAGCTCCTTTCCAACCTTAATGACTCCTAGTTTTTACTTTCATTAAAAAGAATCCAGCCATCAAGGCAGGAAACATGAAATTGCTACTCTCCCCTTAATTGGTTTAGTGGTGGAGTTGGTAGTGTAGGTTAATGGCTGGACTGGATGATCTTAAAGGTCTTTTCCAACCTAAATGATTCTGTGATTCCATGATTCTATTCTATTCAGTTGTCCGTTTTTACATCTGTTCAGAGAGACAATACTGCTCAGTTTTTGTTTCATGTTACTGAGGAAATAGTTATTTTATTAACAAGGAAGCTGGGAACAGATAGAGAAAGGTGAGTTTTATTTGACCTATGGAAAATCACCCTTTAGAAAGAAAATGCCCAGTGTTTTCCTTGCTCCTACAAGGTACTGTGGGCATTCAAAACAAGAACAAGTGACATAATGTTGAGGGGAGGCTACACATAAAAGTATGTACGTGTGTGTATGTATATATATACACATATATTTCAGACAGGAATAGACTTTACAAATATTTTATATAAATACATATAAAATATATACGCTTGTAAATGCCATTCCTGTCCGATTTGCAAGCCTGCGAGCTGTAATGTATCATTCTGATCCCGTCACAGGAAACGGATGGGTACTCTGGCTCAGACGTAAAACTCGTCTGCAAGGAAGCAGCCATGAGACCAGTGAGGAAAATTTTCTACGCTCTTGAAAATCATCAGCCAGGTACCACAGCTCCGAGTAGAAAATCCGATCTGGGAAATGCCGATCTGCTGCTGTAACTCTAGAAATTATAACGTTAACCCCAGCAGGTGGAGCTCTGCTATCTGCTTAGGAAAGTTTTAAACTGTACATTTCGAACTACCTAAGCTAACATTTCTGAAAATCGGGCCTTTTTTTAAAGCTGCCAGTATCTGTGCCCTGTGCACAAATACAAATTTTTCTTTATCTCACTAGGTTTATTCTGTTGCTTTCGTACATTAAGTGTTGCATTAGGCAGGGACATAAAATAATGTCTTCTGGTAATAGTAACGGTATTTAAACAATTCTCTTCTCTTTAGGTAACAGCAACTTACCTGTGATCCGATTAGACACGATCACAACAGCAGATTTCCTGGATGTGATCGCCCACACCAAACCATCAGCAAAGAACCTGAGCCAGAAGTACACAGCTTGGCAGAGAGAATTTGAATCCGTTTGAAAAGAGAAACCCCAAAAGACTGAAAACTTCCAAGACTTTTGCTCTCCAAAATGGCATCGCCTTGCCTCCAAAGGATCGAATGGTGATAGGGGAGGAAGTGCTGTTGTTTCCAGGGAAGAGGATGCAGTGAGAAATGTCAGGGGGAAATCTTCACTTTCAAAATTTAATTGGGGGTCGTTTGCTTATTTTTTATTAGCCATTTGCAATGACCATTCAAAAAACATTCTTCATGGAAATAACGTAATGGCAGTTGCTATGTAATGAAGACTCCAGCCTTCATTTTATGTATAAAGACTTAAGAGACTGCTTGCTTGTCTGTCTTTATTCATGACAGTTATTTACAGGTTTGGGGTAGAAGAACCAGAGCAGAGAGCTCGTTAAGAACAGGTAGATGATTGGTGTAATTCTCCCTTTCCGAGACTCACTAGAGCATCACAAGCAGCGCAGCTTTACCAGCAGACCTGCACCCTTTCTGATGAAATGTAAGTCACTCCTTCCAGTGAAATTCAGGACCTCAGCAGCACCTTGTAGATTGGTTAGTTTGTCATCATTTTTGGCTGAGAGCAAAGCCTTGATGTACCAAATCTATTACCCTCCACTTGGTTTGGGGTATTTCCAAGGTGGAAAAGGCAAGGAATTAGAGGAACTTGGAGACGTGGTAGACAATCAGCAGATTTAGGCTAATCTAACTAGAAACTGGACTGGTGGTTACCCACTGGTTCGCAGCCAGCCATAAAATGCAAACAGCGACTCTTTGCAGCGCAGTGGTAAATACCAGCCACGTCGGAGACTTTTCTGCTTATAAATGTGGCCAGGTAACCAGTCAGTGCTGCCACGTCGCCTTTAATCTTTTAATTAGAAATTCTCATCAGTCATGCTCTCAGCTCTCATGGCTGCCCCTCTCTTACCCTCCCTCTTGCTTGGCAAGAGTTATCCTCTTTGCAGCTCTCCAGATATTTTCCTTGCGCGGACCTGCGTGCAGCTGCTTTTCCAAGTCCCACAGCCTTGCATGCTTTCCAGCACGCTCCGGGACCTCTAAAGCACTGACAAGTCTCCTTTTTGTTCTAGCGTCACTCACGTTCTCAGAAGTCTTTACAGGAAATGCCTTCACAGGATTTTGCTTATAGATCTCGCACCTCCTAAACCTAACTCCAACTATGGGCCAAAGACCTCCTTTACGTACTCCAAGCAGAAACCAACATCAGTTCAGAATTGTTGGCATGAACACAAGGTGTGTGAATTTATTCAAAACCGTAGGTTACGATTTACGAGGGCACACAAAGGATATCTAAAGATGGCCTTTGTTCCTGCGGAGTTTATTGTTTCTTCTATTTCTGCTGCCAAGTCTACTCCATCCGCACGTTCTGTCTCGGACAGAGATTAAATCCAAGTGTAGGTAACCACCCACCACGTGAGAGTGCAGACACACAATCTTTCACGTAAGGAGAGCTTCCCGTTCATTCATCCCGATGATTTTTCTTAACAAGAACGAGCACGGGTCATTAACACAAAACTATATTTTCAATAAGGTTAATACTCCAGTAATGTATAATTACAATCTAATAATTTAACACTCGGGAGCACTGTAAAACAACTGTAAAGGACTTTGATTATTACAGTTCGCAAATGGACCAGAAAAGCTATTTACCATCATTACAAAGTTGGTTCTTACTGGTGGATTTAGCGTGTAGGAAAAGCACTGTGTACTACAGAATTAAATTTCATTTTACAGCTCTACTAACCAACTGTGTAAAAACCGAAATCTGTCCCCATGGCTTATGAAGGATTTTTCCCGTAACACTAAAAAGAAACAAAAAGACCCAACAATAGTGAAATTTTGCAACTGTAGCATTAATAGGACCCTGCTGAAGTCTAATTTCAAAAATTCACAGTCTCTAAGGCATTTAATACCAGATTTTTGTTTCTGTACCATTCTTTTTAATAACAGCATCTAATTAAAACATCTGTAAAATGCTGACAGTTTTAGTTTTATGCAAAATGTGAAAAACAAAACCCAGGATCTGTTCTAATGAGAGGAAAGATATCAACAGTAGTTATTATTAAACAATGGTGATATTTTAATTTAAAAGTCACTTCTAAATGTGCCTAATCTCTACCTTTAAATTAGAGCAGAGCAGAGGCGTACTCAGTGAAATCACTACAGGCTGACTATGGCTCTGTTAGGCCCCGAGGTTTATTTACTTGAGTATTTCCAGTGTGATTTTTTTTTTTTTTTTTTTTTTTCTTTTCGGTTTAGCTTATTCAGCAGAAGAACATGACACCTTCCAGGCAGGGCTTTTCATCAGTTATTTCTTGAAAACTGAAAATAACCAGAACTCTCTGCCATGCTCCCTGTGTCACTCAGGGAAGCAGCTGGGTTGGTTGTAGCCTTTCTGCCTCACGTGCTGGGCATCCGCAGTCCCTCGTCACATCCTCGTGAAACTACTACAGGGAAGGGGCTCTGCCCCCCGATCCTCTGCCCCGTTGCAACTCGGGTGGCAGGAGCTCACGGCTAGGTTTCTGATGCAATGCATGCGTTGATCCTGTGACAATTTTTGAAGCAAGAGTAAAGGAAATGACGTGGAACTGATGGCTCTTCAAACTAACTATTCCCTTTCTCATAGCAAATGCTCTAGGATATGTTCCACTGCCTCTGGGAAATTCTCACAGGTTAAGTAAGGAGCCGGATTGATTTTGTCTTCATCTGCCGGTCGATATTTACCTGTAACAGATTAACAAAAAGATACATTTACCAAGCTCCTTCGGGTATCCTTATTTTTTTTTCTTCCCTGAAAATTACAGCCCCTCGGATCGGTAACAGCCAGCCGCAGTAGGAGGAACGCCCATCTGAGGTTCTCCTGCAACAAACATCCCACAAGTCTTCCCTAAACAAACACCGAGCCTTACTGAAGGTTCCTCCAGGGGCAGTTCTGGCTCAAAATTAGTGTTACTTATGCACTGGTTTCACTCTACTGTACCGGCACTATTCTTTCACTGACTATTCAGACATTCGTGTTGTAGGTTCTTGAAATAATAACATTCTCATTTTCCCTCCTAGGTTTTACGAGGAAGAGTAGAATCATAGAATCATTTAGGTTGGAAAAGACCCTTAAGATCATCCGGGCCAACCATAAAGGATTACTTGCTTTCATTTGCAACACGATGGACTGGGTGGCATGAGCAGCTGCCACCTCAGAAAGACCTTACCCAGTCCACGGTACCATCAATAACATCGATAATACCCATCAGTCCCTTAAGGTTCCGCTTCCATCCGAAGCAAAATTACTTTCATAATTAGCAGTGTAGTAACTAGGGACTGTCACCAGAGTTCCTGAATGATCAGAGGTTCCATTGCTGTAACTGATTTTGGCAATCTAAGATGTTACAGTAACAGTTCTCTCTGTTCTTTGACCGGTGCTCGGGATTTTACAGTCATTACAGCAAAAAATTCACGCCTACGCGATCAGCCACCCCCATCTATTACTTCATATCACCCTGCTGCCAGTGCAGGGTCTGTGCTCCAGCCCTGTTGTTGAAACATGAAATATAACAGCCTACCCTGACTTAATCGCAATCTGCCGCCTGACAGGCCGCCGCGCTGCAGCTGAGGACATGTATCTGCTGCGTTCACCCCAAAATGAAGGGGGTGATGGAGGCGGGGGTCTGCCAGCAGCCCCTCGGTGTAAGACACCACAGGAACGGCGCGCCTCCACAAAGCACCGGGGCTAGACCCAGGGCTCGGAGCGTACCTTCGCTTTGGGCACGGGGGCTGCCAGTACCCAGGGCCAGATCACCGAACGCACCGCTGTCTCCCAAAACGGCCGATCCATCAAGTACTTACCGGTCCTTACCAAAATCCCACGCATGCCCGCGTTCTGGGCACCACCGACATCGTCCCTGCAGTCCTGGGACAGAACAGGAGATCAGCTGGTTAGTGGTCACAGGCACTAGCTGTGAACAAGTTTTTCACGACGTTCTCTGCTTTGCACATCACTAAGCAGCTACTTAAAAGCAGCAACACGGAGTCAAATCTTTTAGCTACCTATTAGACCAACTGTCACAGGAATGATTTACTACATGCTTTTTGCCTGATCAAATAGCGACTGAAGCGAGAGACCTAACCCCGTGGACTACCCGTTAAATCCTGCAAGTTTTCAGGGTTCAATTTTCACGCTTCGCTTAATCCCAGTGCTTTTAGAAAGACCCGCTGGTGGCATTTGGGAGGCGCGAGACAGAGTGGAGACGAGCGCTGCGCTAACGGGCAGGCGATAAGGTGTCTGGTCCCCACGTACATCACCAATCATGACGGCCTCCTCCGGGGCACAGTCGGTCCCTCGCAAAGCTTCTAGGAAGAAGGTTCTCTCGGGCTTCCCCACCACTGTGGCTTTGGTGTCCGTCGCGTATTCCAGCCCAGCTACAAAAGGTCCGGGTCCCAGAGCCAAGCCGTCTTTTTTCTTGAAATATCTGGCTTTATGTATAGCTATAAGAGGAGCCCCATCCAAAATCAACCTAAAGAATTCATGAAGAAGGAAGTACAAAAATTATATTAAAGAAACGATAATTACAGCTGAAGGCCTGAACTGGCTTTCATTTAAGTTGACAAAACTCCCACTGACTTTCATGAGGCCCAAAATTATCACGCAAGTTAGCATTCAGTTGGAGAGTTAAATAAAATGCCTTCCTTTTCCCCAGAAACAGCTAATGAAACAAATCCTCAGAAACAGCTAATAAAATAAATCCCCCAAATAAAGAATTTATTATCTCGAGAATTTTAACAGGTAGCTATTTTTAAATCCTGTCTGTATCTCTCATGCAATTAGCTCCACTACTCTAAACAGCCTCACCTTTCACTAAGGCAAACATCCCAACGTTAGAACCCATCTGATTTCCCCACGCAAGTATTTTAAAAATCCATCAACCGCAGGCAGCGGCTGTAGGTAGCAGTTTGATGGCCACAGCTGTCATCTCCTTGCCTGGACTGAGAAGACAGCAACGCTTCCAGGGTGCTGCTGCCAGGAAATCTGCAGCCCAGCAGCTCTGGGCGCTGGTGGTATCGCCTGTAAGGGCCAGCCAGCTGTGTGTTTCCAGCAGAGACTGGTGTTCAGGTGAACTCCAGGTAGAAGGTCAATAATTTTAACTTCATTTATATTTTAACGTTGGAATTGCAATACCAAGTTACACCAAAAAGCACAAAGGTATTCGGCGCATTCACGTCCCGCCAAATTCCCCAGTTAACAGCGCTATTACCGAGCCTTCTAGGAACAAAGCTGGATTTGAGCTCCTTGCTATCGGGAACCAAAAATTCCAAGTGGAAGACAGTTCAAAGCAACAAGTCAGCAGATTCCTAACGCTTCTGAGTACAATAAAAGGCTCATAGCCTAAGGGTCATAACGCGGCATTACAGGAGGGTCTTGGCCGGGCACAGCACCCGGGAGAGCCTCAGGAAGCGAGTGCAGCGGTGCTCCGAGAGACCGGGAACTGCTCCCTGCCCAGCAGCTGGGATCCTCCCGCCTTCCAGGGGCCCATTTCTGCCCCGAGGCACCAGCATGCGCCCTCCTCAGCGTTCCGCAGACGGCATCTCTGCCTGCCTGTTAAAAACCTGCACAGAACACGGGACTGTCTGGAGCGGGTGGAAAAATGTAAGGGAGGAAGAAAGACACTGCTGTTGCTCCACCGATCTCAGTCAGCGCCTCCTTAGCCTCGCTGCCCTGTCACCCCTGCCAATTCACTTCGTGTCTGCTTGAGGGCTCTCGTCTAACGCTTGCCTTGTAAAAGCCTTACGGCAGGGAGCGTGTCTCGTTAGCACACACGGCGCCTGAACAGCGGACCCACGGCAGCAAAGTAATAGAGGGGAGTTTAAGAGGGCTTGCTTCCACGAAACCTGGACCTAATCTTGGATTCTTCCATTTCTGTGAAAAGGTCTGGAGCACAGGGCTGATGGGGAGTGGCTGAGGGAACTGGGATTGTTCAGCCTGGAGAAGAGGAGGCTGAGGGGAGACCTGATTGCTCTGCAGCTCCTGACAGGAGGGTGCAGGGAGGTGGGTGTTGGTCTCTTCTCCCAACTAACCAGCGATAGGACAAGAGGAAATGGCCTCAAGCTGCGCCAGGGGAGGTTTAGATTGGATATTAGGAAAAATTTCTTCAGGGAAAG